AAACTGAAAATCTAGTGAGTAAGATGTTTCTCTGAATTCTCTGTAACTAGAAACTTAAGGAGGGGGTCACTAGGACCTCTGATCTATAGGCAATCAGTCAAAAGCACAGATGACAATCTGGACTTGTAATTAGTATCTATGGGGGTGGGCGGGGTACAGTCTTGTGGGCCTGAGCCTTTAACCTGTGGGATCTGAAGGTAGGTAGTATCAGAATGAGTTAAACTGCAGGACACCTGGGAAGTGTCCACTAAAACTGGGAGAACTGCTTGGTGATACGGGAGAACACACATTGGAGAAGGTGACAGCCCTGGCTGGCATCCCAGGCAGCCCGTAGGCAAACCCTCACCAGCTCCCAGCTTGGTTTCCTCTTGGAGACACAAGGTGCACACCCAACTGCTGCAGAGTCTCTGGGCTTTATAGAAAGAGCCCTGGCAGAGCCTGGCTCATGGGAGAAGGCACAGCACAGTCGTTGATAAAACCACCCACGGAAGAGAAGGGGCACAGCAGCAGCCCTTAGGGCAGCGGTTCTCAACCTGTAGGTCGCGACTCCTTTGGCGGTCGAACGACCCTTTCACAGGGGTCGCCTAAGACCATCCTGCATATCAGATATTTACATTACGATTCATAACAGTAGCAACATTACAGTTATGAAGTGGCAACAAAAATAATTTTATGGTTGGGTCCCAACATGAGGAACTGTATTTAAAGGGCCAGAAGGTTGAGAACCACTGCCTTAGAGCATGCCTAGGCACCTGGCCAATGTTGATGGAGCACCTACTGGGTGCCAGGCCCTGGGCTGGGCACGGGGGCACGGGAAGGAAGCAATGGACAACGCAGATCAGCATCCCCGCTCTTGTGCCACTGGTGCTGGAGCAAGGCCAGAGAGAGACCATTAAGAAAATCAAAGAACAGGATGAGGTCACATAACATGGGATGCAGAGGAAATACAGCAGCACTGACTGGAGGGCTCCCCAGGGGAGCAGGAGGGGGAGGACGGTGCATGGTGTTTCAGGCAGGGAGCACAGTGAGGATGAAGGCCTGAGACAGAAACAAATGAGCTGTGCTTGAGGATGAGGAGAGAGATGTGGCTGCAGCTGGTAACCAAGGGGAGGTAAGGTGCCAGAGGCCAACAGGGCCCCGTCAGGACCTCAAAGCCATGGGAGGGAGGCTAGGAACCTAGTCCTGACACCCCCTCTCTGGTTCCTGTGTGCCCGGCCAAGGTCAAGGACAGGAAGGGAGGCTCAGGAGGCCTAGTCATCCACATTCCAGACAAGAACAGTCCTCAGCACTTAGTGTTTACAAGGCCCAGAGGTGGTGCCTGAGGAGGAGCAGGGTTCACTCAGGAGCCTCCAAACCCTGGTAAGCTGCAGCTTGAGGTAATTTTCAACCTAAGCTGATTAAAAGTAATGGCTCACTGAGACCAGTCTGGACGAGGAGAAGCTGGCACCACTGGGTGTCGCAGGAGTCAGAGGGGAAGAATGAGGCCCAGTCTCAGGGCCACACCAGCCACACGGGGTGCACTGTCACCCCATCAGTACAGGGTGGCAGCTCTACAGTCATGTCCCAGAGATCCAGCCGGACAAAAGGTCAATCTCTAGGAACAACACAGCCCCAAGGCCAGTAACCCCAGGAACCCTAGCCACCACTTCATCCCCCACTGCACTGAGCTTCCTCCCTCCTGTTAGTGGGGTATCCCACCTCTCACCTGCCTACCCCAATCCCAGGGCCTCTGCTGTTTGGTGTCTTGGTGGCCTCCCCACCCTGAGGTCACTCTAGATTGCCCTTCACACCCGAGGCACCACCTCGGGCCAGGCCCCATCACTTCTCGCCAGGCTACCCCCTCCCTGGCCTCCCGGCCCACACTCCTGCTCCTGCCCGTCCCTCCTCCACAAAGCCAGTGGGCTGAGCTGCTCTCCCCACCCCGCATGCCCTTCAGGCTCCCACTGCCTGAATTCTTCACCACCCCTGACAGGCTGTGCCACCTGCTTCCGGCCCTCCCCAGACTCATCTCACAGCTGCACACTCACTGTTGGCCCTGCCTAGAGTGTTCTCCCTGGGCCTCTGGGCCAAAGCAGAGCTGGTGCCCCGTATACTCTCCGCAATGCTCTGCTGCTTTCCCCTCTCAGCCTGGCTGGGCTCAGGGAGCACCAGGACTCTCAGAGGACTCACAGTGCCTCGCTGGTGTCGGAACCAGGCCCAGCACAAAGTGGCCACACATCTACTTGGGTCATTAAGAGACCCAGAATGCCATGGTCAGGTGGGGGAGGGGAGTATGGGAACTGGGACACAGCAAAGGCCACTCCCATGTGGGACACCAGGACTCCTCTCCCACACCCCAACCCAACAGGATCCAAGTCCATCTCCATCTCCATGGCTGCCACCCCATCCCTACCTGTCCCGGGGCACCTGCCTCCTCTTGGGTCCCCTGCCCCTGAGCAGGTCCCTGTGGTCTCTTCTCCACAAGCAGCTACAGGATCTGGTCAAGTCACACCTTGGTCTACGGCCACACTTCCCAAGAGTGAATTTAAGATGAGGCTTTCAAAATAACCCTCCATCGTGCCCTCAGGACAGTGGTTTCAGCTCAGAGACCTCAGTTCAGTCCTCTGTGAAGTGGGGACGACAGGAACGAAGATTTCAATGTCAATCTGCATTAGGCACGAGGCAGATAATCTGGGTCAAGTTCCTGCCCTTGGTGCTCCCACCAAGGCACTGCTCGTCATGTGCTTCTCCTTCCTGCAGAAGGAATTTCAGTTCCTCCAACAGGCCACTCTGGGCACGGGATCTCATGATCCTCACATACTCTCTGCTGGGAAGGAGAGCTCCCCTTCCCCAACATACCTATCCTACTTGTCAGCCTCAACTCACACATTAATTCTTTGGAAAAGTTCACGATAATCGAGTGATGTCCCCACCCTCCCCCCACCACACTTGTTCCCATCTGATAAAGGCCAGGCCTGTGTCTCACTCTTTGTCCCTCCACCCAAGCCTTCCTCATCTGTCCCCCACCACTCATGGGAGTACCAGGAGGGCAGGTGGTAGGTCCTGATCCTGCTCACCTGGGTGCCCCAGCCCTGGACCAGCCTGTGGAACATGGTACAGGGTCAGGGGACCACCGCTGGGTGACAGCCACTGTGGAGGTGACGAGAGAGCCCGCCCACCTGTTCTCCCAGCAAGCTCTCCCCAAACAGGCTGGCAGCAAGCACAAAACTGCAGCTGTTGGGTCAGCACTCCTCAGCGCTGTTCTAAGATGTCCTTAGACTGAATAACATGGTCTTCGCCACAACAAAGAGGTGCTATTATTATCTCCTCTGTTCCGGCAGGAAACATGGCTGTGAGCAGCAGTCCCTGCCCAGGGACAGACAGCCAGTAAGCTGCAGAGCAGGATCTGAACCTGGCAGTCTTACTAGTAGCTCCCAGCTCCCATCTACAGGTCAGAGGATTTCCCAGTATGGCCAGGGGCCAAAAGCATCAGCAATACCCTGGAAACTCATTAAAATGCAGACTATCACCCTTCTGCCTCAACAACCTGCAAAATGGGAAGCAGAAACCCCCGTAGGCCAAGCCCTCTGTGACTAATCCATGTGAACTCTGGAACACGCTGCTCTGCAGCTGCCTGTCCTGGCACAGCTGATTGGCCAGCTGATCCCAGAGGAGGCAGCCCATTGGCTTACCCTCAGGAAGCTGGGCCAATCTGATGCAGCCTCTCATCAGAGTCACGCCCTCCCATGGCAAATGGGTAGGGTGGGACTAGGGCACAGCTGAGAGCCTGGTCAGAGGTCCAACCTCAAATTTCAGATCTGGAGTCCACGAGGACGGCAAGTAATTTGGCTAGGCCTCAGTTTCCATCTGTAAAATGGATGTTTTTGTTGCCTTTCCAGTGCTGAACTGGCCAGGGCTGACACTCCAGGTCATGGGGAAGCAGCACAGAGACTCTGCACTGAGACCCCTAGGGGCTCTAGACCAGTGGTCGGCAAACTCATTAGTCAGCAGAGCCAAATATCAACAGTACGACGACTGAAATTTCTTTTGAGAGCCAAATATTTTAAACTTAAACTATATAGGTAGGTATCTTGTTATTAACTTAATTAGGGTACTCCTAAAGCTTAGGAAGAGCCACACTCAAGGGGCCAAAGAGCCGCATGTGGCTCGCGAGCCGCAGTTTGCCATGGCTCTAGAGAGAAAAGAGAACCCACCCCAGATATTCCCCTCACCCAGTCCACCTTCTGAACTGAGATGCTTTCGAGAGAGGCCTGAGTGGATTTCAAGCTGCGAGATATGCCCATGTCAAGTCACACTTACACAAGAAGAACAGAAATAAACTTGAGGCTACCGCGAGGAGTATAGAAAAAAAAATCTCCATGTGGAAGATTCTTTATTCAATTCAAGCAACTGAAATTCACAAGAAAGAAAAAAAAAAGGAATTCCTTCTGCGGGTCTCTCCCAAAAGTCAATGTTGTGATTAAAGAAGAAATGGCAGGGATGCTGCTGTAATGCAAACGGGAAACGTAACAATGGAGTGTAGCAGGGGATTGATCAGAGCAGCTGTAAATCAGCCAGGGAGGATATTTGGGGACAACTGGCAACCTGTATGGACTGGACATTAAATGACATGCAGGACTGATTACTTTTCTTGGTGGGGTCTGTGACCGAAAAATGGCCCAATTGCAAGGGATGGGGCACTGAAGCATTTGGGGTTAAGTGTCACAACGTCTGCTACTGATTTTGAAAGCGTTCAGCAAAAACATGTTATCTACAATACAGCCGGCACATATGGTACCCGGCAGCCTGGTAATGACTGGGGATGCTGGGGTGGGTGTACGTGTTCAGTGAACTCTGCTTCAACTTCCCTGCACACGTGGAAAACATGAACTCAAACCCAAACAACAGTCCAGCCATCAGAGCCTCCATCATAAGACCCCTGGCTCCTGCAGGACACAGTGACCCCCCCTCCCCCCGGCCCCATTCACTTCCTGCTACAGCTCTGGCTCATCCCACCATACCTGTTTTTGAGAAGATGAGCTGCAGGATGAGAGGCCGCCGGGTGACAATTCCCGAACCTCGGGGAAGGAAGTCCCTGTGGGAGGAGGAAGGAACAGAAATTACTCATGAAGCCAGTTTGCAGGACAGGAAGTGTGACCACACGTGGTGGCGCAATCCCCTCTTGCATTTTGGGTGACCTCAGCAAAGACACCAACTCCAATGGGGCACGGGGGGATGCTCTGGCTTTGGAGGATCCGGAGGCAGGAGAGAGGCAGATGATAGAAGGCTGGTAACAAATGAACCACTTCCCTCTGGCTGGCTGCTCCAGCCCCAGCATGCCAAACGGCCCTTTCCTTAACAAGTATTTGAACCATCTCTCCCAGACCCAAAGAGATCAGTACAGTTTCTACATGTATGTTTTAAGTTCATATAATGCCACATGTTTGCTATACAGACTAATAGGAAAGTAGCTGGTGACAAAATATGATGTTTCATATCCCAAAATGACAAACAGAGGCAGGAAGTGGATCAGTGATGGCCCAGGGGTGGAAAATGGAGAGGAGGGAGCCTTCAGGGGCGATGAAAATGTTCTAAAATTGGACTGTGGTGACGTTTGCTAATATTTACAGTAAATTTACAAAAAATCACTGCGTTTGCAGTGGATGACTTTCCTAGTATGTAAATGATTCCTCAGTGCAGCTGTTTGATAAAAAATACATATGCCATGTATTTAACTACAGAAATACTCAGGCACTACCTGCACCGACTCACACTATTACACGTGGATGCATGCAGAGTGGGAAGACTGGAAGCCACCCTGGGCCATTAAGGAAGAAAAGCAAAGGAGCAGAAGGCCAAGCAGGCACTGAAGTAGAGGTGGCATTTTGAGACTTAAAGCCTGCAAAGGACTCTTGTTTCACGTAAAACAGAGAAAGGTTCTATCTAGACTCAGGGAATTTCAAACAATGTTTGTACCAAGATAAACATTTGGATTATCTGACATCTGTGCAGGACATAGGACAATTGGGGCTGGACAGGTGTGCAGCTGTGCCTCATATGGCAAGACAAGAGCGGCCCTGAGGTCCCAGCCTAGTGCACTGGTGCCACCTTGCTCCCCAATACTGTGGCAACTATAGTGTCTCAGGGGCACCCTATTTGTGTTGGGGACCCCTGTTGGGACCCTAGAGAGTGCCAGAGGAGGCAGTTTTTTTTCACTGCTGACCCATATTCCATTGCATGAACGGACCAGTTTGTTTACCCATTCACTAGGTGATGGGATGTGTGGGGGTCTTTCCAAGTTCGGGTCCATAATAAAGCTGCTATGAACATTCTCACTCGTGCCTGTTGTTGACATATGCCCTTGTTTCATCTGCTGAGGCACAGAGTAGACTCGAAGTTGAACAGGCAAAACCAGTCTCTGCTGACAGAAATCGGAGCAGTTGTTTCCCTCTGAGGTAACTGACTGGTAGGCGTATGAGAGAACTTCTGGGATGATGACAGTACTCTCTGTTGTGATCTGTCTAGTGATTACCTGGGTGGACATGCATTTATTTTAAAAATCAAAGTATACACTTAAGATTGGGGGAGCTCCTGTATCTAAGTTAAATCTCAATAAAAGGTCAAACGTATAAATAAGTCCAAGAGGACATGCTCATGACTCAGGAAAGTACAGAGGCCCTGGCCAGGGAGCTCAGTTGGTTAGAGTGTCGTCTGATATACCAAGGTTGAGGGTTCAATCCCCAGTCAGGGCACAAATAAGAAGCAAAAAATGAATGCATAAATAAGTGGGACAACAAATCGATGTCTCTCTCCCTCTCTCTTTCTCTCCTCCCCCCCTTCCTCCCTCTCCCTTCCTTTCTCTCTCTAAAAATCAATCAATATAAAAATATAATAAACCTCGGGAAAGTACAAACAGCCCATTAAAATTTCCCCACAAAATCATTACAATCATGTTAGTTTCCCAGTAAGAATAGCTCAGATCTGAAGAACTTTAAATTAGGGCCCATTTACACTACTGTGGAGACACACACACACACACACACACACACAAGCTTTATATCTCCTGACTTCCATCTGGATATACTGAGGAAAACAAAAGATGCAGAAATAAATGTGTGTGTTCTGCAACTAAAGGAAAAAACAACAACAACAAAATCGAGCCCGTGGAGGCTGGGGCCTGCTGGGAAGGAAAAATCATTGCATGTTCTGGAACATCCTTGAATTGTGCATTATCAACCATATGGATTACTGACTCTAAAAAATTACTTTTTAAAAAATGTAGTTAACTGTTGTCGAGTGCCCACCGTATACCAGACAAGGAGCTGAGAACTTTCCATGGATTTACCTACTTAACCATGACGAGAACCACAAAGATGAGTCTGCAACTAGGCCCAGAGGACAGGCAGCTCTGCAAGGTCACCCAGTGACCAGGAGTGGCGTGAGCATGACCGTAACCCATAGGGTCTGAGCCTCTGACCACCAGGTAGGTCATCAGGCCTCTGGGCCCAAACATCTGACACAGAAGCCACCAGCGTCTCCCCAGCCAGGGCCAGGCCTTCTGCCACTGGTGTGGTACGCGTGTCCTCTGTGACTGCTCTGGACATGTCTTGGGGGGTGGGGGGTGGTCAGTACCGTGAGCACAATGGTGACACCACAGACATGGACTGGACAATGAGAGCCTGAGAACACGAGGGCTAGCGTGATGCCCAAGAGAAGCCAGACAGCTCTGGGCACACACAGGGGAAGGCGGCTTTCTGTGGCTGGGACTTCATGGTGAGCAGGAAGTATGAGTGGAGGACACAGCCTGGGTGAAGGAGGCAGAGCCTGTTGGGGACAAGGATGGGTAGGCAGGGGGGTCCTCACAAGCCAGGAGCCCTGGGACTCAGCTAATTGCATTTCTAGAAGCTCCTGGACTGCTGAGTAAAGAGAGCAGCAATACCCACTCTCAGCCTGGACAGCCCCCAAAAAGCAGCCCCTAGACATTTCCAAGGGGCTCAGTGAAGAGGGGCCTGTCCAGTTGGGCCCTAAGGCCCCCACAGCATTCCTGGCACACAGCAGCAGGGGCACTCTTGGGGCCTTCATGGCGGCGTGGTGGAAGAAAACCTCCCCCAAGCAGCTCTGCCCGGAACACAGACTCCATTTATCTGGAGGTGACTTTCAAGCTTCAGTCATCTGCTTCCTCCTCCTGGACCCCACCCATGCTCCACGGGTGACCACATCCCTCACTGTGGCTCCAAGGTTCCACCTCCCTCCTCTCTCTTCCCCACTGCTACAATGGCCACCGTGCACCCAGGCTGTATGGCCTTGAGCTGGCTCCCCTGCTTCTTGGTCTGGTTTCCTGTCAGTAAGGGGGTAGAGGGGTGTGTAACTCCACCCACCTCAGAGGACAGCTGGGTACCAGCAAACAGGTATAGGCACAGGGCTGTACCCTCTGCCACGAAATCCTTCCCCCCTGCTCATTCACCTACGGGCAGATGCAGTAAAATGTACCCCTTCCTCCCAAACGTGCATCCTCCACACACCAACACAGCCTCCAGTGGAGGTCCAGTCCACGGACTCTGGAGCCAGACAGCCTGGGTTCAAAGGTCAGCTTTGCCTCCACAAGCCTTGGACAGGTCTCCACCCTCTCTGAACACTGGCTCAGCTACCTGGGGGATGGGAGGATGCCACCCAATCACCAAAGAGGGCCCGGCTGGCTGTATGACCTGGCATGAGTCATTTTACCCCTGTGGAGCCTCAGTTTACCAACTCTAAAATGGGCCACCTCTCCCTGGAAGGTGATGAGGGCTCAGGGAATGTCCCCTGAACAGAGCACAAGGCCCCAACAGGAGCCCTTTGACTTCCAGCCAACAAGAGCAAGGGAACTCCTGCATGGGGGAACAATGGAGGCCACACCCAAGCTGGCAGGTGGGCAGGCCTTCCCAGGGAAGGGAAAATAAACAGATAAGCCAGCAGAGGATGAGTCAGCAACAAGCCCAACCCAGATCCAGTGAATGCCCAGGCCACCCCTCGCCTGACCAATCTGGTAATAGGCGCCCAGCAAGGGCCCTGGGCTGGGATCCCTTCCTTATCACCACACCCTTCTGGAGTCACTCAAAGCCTCAGTGTGGCCGTGAGACCTTAGCACAAGGTCAGCGGGGTGCCCACGCTCCGGGGCCTCAGTCATGACCACCCCACAAGGACCACTGGCCACCATGGGTAACATCTCAGCAAACCCTCTAGCGACACTGAAGGAATGAGGCCTGGGTCAATACACCCATTTCACAAATGGATAGACTAAGGCTCAGAGTATTAGGACTTGCCCAAGCCACTCAGCCAGAAGAAGCAAAGCCAGGATGGGAACACAGGTGGGACACCAATGAGGGAGACACCCCAGTCACCCCTATCTCCAAGGGGGTTTCCTCTGTGGTTTTGCTACAATAGAGTAGAGCTTATCACTCAGTCTCCAGAGCTTCAACATCCAGCCTGTGCACACCCTGCCATAGTCCCTGCCTCATCTGCGCCCAGTAGTGACTATCCAACAGTGACCATTGATCACCCAGGGCCCAGCCCACACTCAGTGTCTCCAGGCAGGTGCCACTGTGTCATTGTGGTCACCTCAAGGGTCAAGGTTACACTCCTCAACTCAGGTCAAAAGCCTGAGCTCCTCCCACCTCTCACCCAACCCTTCACACCACCCCACCCAGCAGTAAGTCCTGATGGCTCCACCTTCAAATGCAGCCAATCCTCTCCATCTCCAAGGCCATTGGCCTGGCCCATCAGTGCTTGCCTGGAATAGTGCAATTGCCCCCTCAGGCTGCCCACCCTCACCCCCACACACCATTTTCTCCAGATGGCCATAGGACACCTTTGGATGCCAAGTCGTGGCATGTGCCCCCTCTGTTCCGAACCCTTCCAGGCTCCCACCTCCCTCCCCACAGCCCACAGGGCCCTACATGATCTGCCCAGTCACCTCCCTGTCCTCACCTCCTCCCAGCCTCCTACTCACTCGCTTGGCTCCTGGCCTCCTCAATGTTCCCCCAAAACACCAGGCAAGCTCCTGCCTCAAGAGATGTGTACTGTCTGCTCCTGGGCCTGGACCCTCTCCCTATAGCA